TCTAATAAATGTTTTAATAATTTTAGAGGTCTGTGGTAATAAAAAATGTTGACTGAGAGCAGGAAGTTGTAAGTCATAATCAACCCACAAAACCTTTTACAGCTATATGGCTGCCACATTGAAATACTTAAGTCAGGTACTTAAAATCTACACCATCAAAAAGATCTCAAATGTTATGTTACCCCTACAGAGTTTTCATGACAAATGCCAACTAATTCAAAAATTATTAGCAGTGTAATCAAATTTCACCTGGTCTCCTGCAAGTTTGGCTTCCTTGCACTACCTTTAGCAAATGGAATAAAATTCTATTATTCTCAGTCAATGAGACTTCTGAAATATTAAACTATTTGATGCTGGTGTTATGGTTATAATTTTCATAATAGTATACAAATTTAAATATAATATGCATAATTTATAATTTTTATAATAATCTACACATCTATTTCTGCTTTTCATCAACATTTTCCAGGAGTCACAATGAGCAATAGATGCAATGAAGTGCTCCCAAAAGGACCTGACTTTCACCTCTTTAGAAGTACGTACTCTGTGGGCTATGTAGCAGTGGTGTATGGCTGGTAGAGACATTTTTAATATTACACATTATGCACAAATAACATGAATATCCCACGACTCATTTCTCTAATGCTCACTTACCTTTCATAACATCACTTCACAGTGTGATGAAAACAGAGCTGTCCAATGTTTCCTGAGAAAAAAAAAACAGTGTTAGGGCAGTTCATTACAATTCACAAGCACCTGTCTGCTTTTATAGTATCAGCAGCAACTGACATACTGAGTTGAGTTAAATAACATATTTAAATATATATTACGGGGAATAAAGATTAAACACAAAAACTCAACAACACAAAATCAGGAGACTGAATGCTAATGTTACATAGTGGAATTTTAAAACACGTTTTCAAAGTATAAAACTCATTTCCCATTCGCCATTGCACATTACCATGAAATAGAGAACCTATTACTTTAGCACCCATTATCTGGGATCCAACTAGGACACATGTTGACAAATTAAAATACACTAACATAAAACACTTTAAATGAACTGCACCTACCACACAAGAAGAGTGATGAAAAATTATGTTTGAGCTTAAACCAGTCATCCAAATTTCAACATTTTCTATAAAGACATAAAATAAAATTATTCCATTTGTACTTTAATGTATCACTATCCCCACCATTCTCATGATGGAAACATAAACAAAGCAGACAGACGCTTTATCAGTAAATCTACAAACAAGGAAACTGTCAAAACCCTTTCACACATCACACTATCACCAAGAATCACAGTGCTTACGTGATGCAATCAAATGGAGAATATTAAAACTTTAAGACAGATATGCACTTATATAGGATGTCTTCCATAAGTCCAAATTCATAGGAAAACTTGGTTATTTGGCAAAATGCAAAAAATATAAAGAGGAGAAAGTTGTTGCAAGTCATGTGTTTCCAATCTCAAGTTTTGGTATCTTTTTACCTACGATGAGCTGTTACAATGCTATAATCTTTACATTAACAACAGAAAAGTTTCAGGAAATTGGCCACGTTGACATGATAGTGAAAGAGTTCAAGTTCTTCTGTCATTCTGTATGAAGTTGTCAACTTGCATGAACATCAATATTATTGATAGCCGTTGCTGAATGCTTTTGTGCTGCTGAAGCATAAAGAGTTTTCAATCCACATTGATTGAACCATGACATTTGAACATTAAGCAATCATGAAAGAAAGATCTTCCTACTCAGCAGCCTTTAGTTGTGTTCAAGGATTTTTTACTCCTTCCTTGCAGAGAAATTGTCACACACACACACGTCAAACATCTGTCTGTCCTTCCTTTTATCTCTTAAGAGGTGCAACAGACAAAGTAAAGAACAAAAATACTTTAGCAAATACTCTTAAGACAAAGCATCCAGAGTCTCAAAGTTTCACACATACAATTGAAAACATGAATCAAACTTATTTTTCGTGATAAGTAAGTCTAAACAAAACTGAACTATAAACTAATATGTTCAATTAACAAGTACTTTTACCAAAAAATAATTATTGTTTCAAAATATCTGGTACAGAATAACTAAAAATGTGTGCTTCAAATAAAAAAGGTACTTTAAATAAAAGGACAATCACCCATGTGTCCCATTAACACTAGTCTGTTGTTAGGCCTGCATCCCTTGCTCTAAAGTTGATTACAAATACCACCATCAACAGGAAAAACAAATGTAATTTATAAAAAAATCTGTTTTTAATTTCCATCATACAAATGCACAAAGCTTGGTTGTGGTGGTAATATATCAAAATAATGGCAGGCACTAAAGGGAGACTTGTGTAGTGAATTGTTATATTGAATATTCTTCCACTAGCCTGCAAATTACTGCTCTCATTATTATCATTTGTAGTGTAAACAAACTCAGACATCCACAATGGAAGTACAAGTAGGTGCTATCATTTGAATTTGATGATTTTGCTTGTTGATTTCTGTCATGATGGTATGATTCAAACCACTGACCAGCTATATATCAAATTCCATAAAATTTAGTGTTGATAGTAATAAATAATGATTTACACAATCGAATGCTTTAGCAAGATTACAAGATATTCCACCAACATGCATTTTATTATTTAGTGCATTTAAGACTTCATCTGTAAAACTGAACAGAGCTTTATCAGCAATACTGTAGTTGTCTGTAAATTACTGTCATAATTCATATTTGTATTAGAAACAAGTACTGTATTTGTGCTATGACATGTTCTACATCCTTGGCTTCGGCCTACTCTATGGAATGTAAATAAATTCTATTCCATTTTATCAATAACATATTAACATTGCAGTGTAGGATGCCTTTTGCACGTGCTAAACTTATGTTATTCTTCCACAGAAAACTGAAAGACCAGAATTCCCAGAACTGAAGCATCTTTATAAGCATTATCTACTGCACAAGCTCACCCCAATCCCGCATTTTCTCCGGTGAAAATTAATGCACAAACCTTGACTGAAACGAATACTTATAAAAACAACTGTTTTGTGAATAATGTGACACTCCAGGAAAGATACTACAATGAAGTTCTTAATACTACAATATTGTATATTAAATTACAAAACTATAACACAGAAAACGAGGCCGAAACCTAATGCAAGTCTGACAACAAACTTTGAGTAACAAACTTTCCTGACAAACGCAATATCTTCAAAGCGTAATGAGGAAAAAATTATGAATATATGCCAAATATATTGTTATACCTGTCACTATTAAACTACCTTGGAATTTGTATTGGAAGCCATATTCTACCTCACATCAGAAAACTGAACTAAATGAAAGATACACGTATTTGGCGTAATGGGTGCTTCGACCTGTTTGTTCCTCAAGCAGCATGCATTCAAAATGTACGAAAAATGTACGGCATCTGCAGTAAATTTACCTTCAAAATTCAGGAGCAAATATTAATCACACTCAAAACCACAATCTCTTACATGATCGGCAAATGTTTTGTATTACTTTAATGATTAGCGGCATCTAGGAACAGTTGATGAACTAAGCACAGCCTTGTAAATGCTCGACTGACCAGTAGCATGTCAAAGAACGGGACAGCAACACAACTTTCCTTGACGAGTCCTTAATTTCAAAGCACATGTGAATATTTTTCAGCTGGCTCTAATCTTTGTATTCTGTGAGAGAAACAATTTAGGAAATTTATGTACCAATTATGGCGCGCTTGATTTGTTGTATAAAGATCAAATTCTGAGGCTCCTTTATAACCAATGCAAAAGAGTTGGGGAGGATGCGCAAGGACCTCCAACAACAACAACTTCCGTAACAGTAGTTTAGCACTTCTCGAGTTACAAGACAAAACAACTTTTAAATAATTTTAGTCAATTATCTTTTTTACCTACATAAAGAGTACCGAGGGCTCAAAATGTTTTTCAATTTCATCTACAATTTTTGTCGAAATATTTTTTTCACACATCAAAATATTTCGCGAGTTACGCCCAAGATACCCATCGAAACACATGGAATTCTTTGTCATATATTCGTTATTATTGTCTAAGCTATATGTTTTGATCCAACTGGATCATCATCAGGTATTATATACCTGAGTGTGAAACACCGTTTAGATATGGTTAGCATGCCTTAAGATAAGTGTACAAATTGACACGTTTATTCAACAGGCCGTGCATACATAAGTATATGCCAGATTATGACCTAGTTATGTTGAAAGATATAGTCAGACAATTAAATAAGGGTTGCATAGGTATATAACAAATTAATACAATTTGAAAGGACATTTCAGTTGAGTAAGTAAATGACTAACATATTAAACACAAAACTGATTCCAAACAGATTTAGATTGTTGTTTGATAGTTTTGATTACATAAAGACATTTACAGCAATGGGACAACAGTATTGAAGGGAATTTTGGATGATTGTTAATTGTTTCCAAACATGGCAGAGATGTTGAATACCATTAAAAAATTCTGAATGTAAATACTAAAAGCTATTGACAATGTATATTCTTATAAAGAATGAGTCCACGATGTCTACCATAAACCAGATATAATCTGAATTACCATCACCATGAAAACCACCAATCTCTCACCCCATTTAGATGTTTAAGATGTTGCATACAATTTACGATGTACTGTAGCAGGACAGCCATAGTTACTCCTTTGAAGCAGACATAATTTGAATTAACAAAACATTACCTTGTATTTGTGCAGCTAATTTTCAGTTATGCTTGATGGTTAGGGAAGTGAACAACTAAAAACTAAACAAATTAATGAAGATGATGTAAAACTGTATAAAATTCCTATTCAAATTAGAGCTACAGTATCTGTTGCACCTCTATAGAAGATTATTAAAAGAACATCAATTTAGTTATGCCACATTTCTCTTCCATACAAGAAAGCTTCAGTGCTAGTGTCAAAAAGATAATACAAGTAAGTTGTCAGGGGCAGGAGATGGGCTGCAAACTTTGCGATGAAAACTGATAAGTTCGATGGTTCAAAGTTTTATTCTTTCACACTTTGCATTAAGACAACTATTTACACAAATACAAATTCAGCATGTACTGTATGTTCCTTCCTTTATGAAGGAAGTTATGAAGTTTTTCATCCCTTAATATATACAATAGTTTATTAATATCACCTTTTCTGTTTCTTTAAAATAACCCGTAAACAGATTTATGTACAGCTAGTATTAATTGGACATGCGAATTCCAGCAGAAGTCTCCAATCTCCTTTTTAAAGACTTCAATATTATTTTAACTAACAGTACTCGGGGGATGCAAAAGAAAAAGTTGCCAAATTTATTTAATGACCAGATTAATTTGTAAGCCATGTACAGATTTAAAATGGTTTCTCTTATCCCTCTGTTTAACATTAGCATATTAAAACACATCATGTAAATACGGTATAAAGGTTGATTCTTTTTTAAATAACAATTAGGAATGTGAACATACCACGCACAATCAACACCACGGCAAACCACAGGACTTAACGAAGAAGTTTTAAAAATTGTTAACTTGATAGCTCATACTGTCATTACCCACAAGTGTTTTTCCTCTTTTAACTTCATCTACAGCATCTTGAATATGATTAACATTTTTTAACTTTCTAGGTGACAAATTGGTAAAACTATCACAATTCCCATACAATGTGCTCTTTGACACAGTTGTTTACTTCAGCCCTCATTCCCTAGATGTTCATTATAACTAGTATTTATAAGATTGAATGTACAGTGTAAACCGCATTTATAATCCTTTCAGGTTATTTTTGCAAATGTCTTGCACCCAACAAGTACTGACTCTCACTGACATGACAAATTTTAATTTCAATTGGATTTAACACAGCAGTAATTCAAATATAAAACTAGCAATTAAAAATACTAATTACTGTAACACCTCAAAATAAGTAAATATATAATTCCACAACTGTGTTCATGAAGTTTATTTAAAAGGGCACCTTAAGATTCCATTAGCTTTAAACAAGGGTAAATGAGCATCACATAATTTTCTTATACGATTTTCATCATATATGTAAGATGTGTATTACCATAATGTAACAAGTTTAATTTTGTTAAAATTAATGCAAAATATAGGTCTCAAATTTTCTCAGATCAATAAAAGTACGGACTACATAGCCTTAACTGCAAATATAATTTAAAAGGATTATACATGTTTTGTGTGGCACATTTCACGTTTTGTTAAGAAGGTGACTTAAAATAGTGATCTAAACAGCAGCCCACATAGCTTATCTACGTTTTTACCAATGGAATTATTACAGGTTAAAAATGAATAGAGGTATCTAAAAGTGGCTAAAGTGAATGAGAATCTCCAGTGTAATTTTGGTGACAGGGCATGAAAATGTGGTACTCTGGAAATGAAAGGGAAAGCCTTTGTATGTTATTTTTCTTTCAACTGACAGGTAAATTACCAAAGTTAAAAAATAAACAATATACATATGTACAAAAGAAACTTGTGTTATTCGTATAAAATGCTTGGTTTTAACAAGTCTAATGGTGGATTTATCACCTGGACTGATTTCACTTATGTTTTACATCAATTACAACTGCAGACAGATTATTACATACAGATTATAACAGTAACTTACAACTTCTTCTTTTTTTAAAATCAGTTTTAAATGTAATTAAAATCAGTTTAAAGACTGTGGTAAACCTTGTCATACAAAATCTGTTAGTGTAAATTTTTAATATTGGTAAAGTTGTTTGCAAGTGAATTAACACTTCTAAATATTGTTTATGTGGACTCACCATTAGTCAGAACCATTTCAAATTCTAAGCGTATTCAGATAACAAAGCACATTCAGGTCTTGATTATTATTATTACCATATATATTTTGTGTTGTTGTGAGGATATTTGTCATCTTGTTTTATGTTCAATATTACTGCAGTCTATTTTGTCAGCTTTTAAAAAAATACTGATCCAGGAGAAGTGCTGTAATCAACACATTATTCATATTGTATGTAAATGACTAATCATTAAATCATGGAAAACAAAGCTTAATGTATTCACACTTACAGTAATAAAGACGTTTTCACAGAAAACCAACAATGTTCATACGTAATAGCACCGTATTAATTTTAGGTATAGTTTCATTCACACATCATTGCATCATTTTGAGCTGCATTTATAATTCATGGAAAAAAGACAAAATCTAACAAAAAGTGAGATTTTATATCTTCTTTCTGTCTTATCCCACAATTCTAAAGCCAGTCTAATTAACACAGAGTTCATATTATTCATTACATAGCAAGATTTTTTCACTTACAGCAGTTTCAGAGACTGAAGCACGATTACACATGTGCAATACGTCAGCACTTTACACAGCTGGGTTTTGTAGCCTCAAACTGTCACATGCTATATTAACAACTGTGTCAGAATCATACATGACTGATAGGAAATTGCATACTTTATATTGTAATATATGGTGGTCACATTGTCATTCATTATGAGTATAAAATAATTCTGATGGCAGAGCTCAACAACTGAAGTTAACATTTTTGGTCTGACATTACTTGATTCAGTTTTTCTTAAAAATAGTTAGCTATTGAACTCAAGAGTTTCTACATATTACAGCCATGTGTCGACAATGCAAATGAAGAACCCTCTCAAGAAGACATAACTGCTAATTAATTTATATATCTAGGTTGGAGTAAAAATGTAGCCATATAACAAAGATAAAGGAAGGATTCTTAGATACACAAATTAAAACTATGCACTCTAAAACCCCATTCCTTTCATATAAAGAATTGTGAAAGTGGAAATTACAGACACTAATATGAGTTGCAAGGATTTGAAACACAAATTAATCATGTTTCAAATATGATTATGATATTCAGTCAATACCACGTTTTTCATTATTCAGGATTACGTACATGGCAGGGAACATAAATCACAAAATGGCCTCTAAGTCAATACAGCCTATATCACAGCCTTGAAGTTACAATGTAAAGATTATAATTCATATTTGAACAATATTCTACATCAAGTGCACAATCTGTAGTCTCCTGTCCAAAGTAAAGTCTCTCGCAACTCCCCAGCATTAACACACACATATATACTCACTCATAACATTCAGATTCTCCAAATGTATACACAGGCTTCATTAAGAGGACTAACATAGTGCCTATCAACAGTACGTGACAATACACAACAAATAAATTCAGAAGAGAGCAGCATTTCTCAGTGCTGTCAAAACACATACAGTGTTCATTTTTCCCCCACTGAATACAAATTTATCTCATCCACCTGCTGTACACAACCACAAGTGCTTTTATATAAATCACTCTGTCTTATCAAAATGATCTTCTGGTTGGAAAATTAATTAAAAAGGTGCAACATTGACAATAAAAATACATACACGTAACATGTTAAAAGTCTCCTTTAGAAATACTGAGAATAATTTTAATATGTAAACATAATTCATGCAGTGTGAATGGGTGAGTATATTCAAGAAGTCAGCAGTATGATTAAACATACATTTTACAATTACCAACTAAATTTATGAACCCCAATTTCATTTTATAAGCCAAAATGCATTGTTCTATCAAAAGCACTTAGTCATGTGGGTGTAAATGGCAGCCATATAATACAAAATCTTTCTATGTAAAATGGCTGCTTGTTTCACACTAAAACCATATTAAGGATTATATATTTAATCTTCATACTTGGGTTCAAAGGGTCCATCACATCTAATGTGAACAGAAATGAGTTGTACTACATTTTTAAACCATTAGAAGATATCAGATTATTGTTCTAAAACGATAATGATACAAACCTGAAAGTGGAGAATCTCAACTACAGCTTAAAAACATTCTACAACATATTACAGAATGACAAGAAAGCATAAAAGCACAAATCAAATGAACGTTCAAAGTACAGCAAAAAAAAATAATTTTTCTGCTACAAATCCTCCTCCTACACAGATCCCTTGTTCCTACAATTGTATCCTATCAATAAAGCTTTCATAAGACCAAAAAGAAATATCCTCTTTCTCATTTTTAACTTTCTCTTCACTATGGAAGTGGCAATTAAATAAATAACCTCAGAGCAAGACATATTTACTCTGATAATCTAAACTAATTTTGAGCTGTTTTAAATGTGCTCTTCTCAGTATATTAATGCTGCCCCATTTCAAAGTTTATTAGGAACATTTCATCCAAAATGACAACAATTTTGTTTTTGTGTTTTCAGTAAATGCTATTTCTAAACAGAAGAGATATCCAATATGTATTTGTGTCTTAGTACCATAAACAATGGATCAAAAGATATTTAGCATATACAGTATCACTACATCTTTTATAACAATGCAGAAATACTAATTCACCTTATCATTTAATTTTACTCACAGACAACTCAATTAAGAATATCATTTTTTTATTTAATTAATTTAACTCCTTTAAACATCACAAAACTGTGATATTTTCCCTTCTGTTTCACCAACCTTAATATAAACTACATACAAGAGATCTGTTTGCATTGAAAGTCATAAGTTCCACCATTTCTGACCCAGCAATTCCAAAGAAATATAATTCTTACACTCTGTAATATAACATTCCTCCTGGTTAAGTACAATATGTGAATTATAAAAACAGGGAATGACTATTTAAGGGGTTTTACAGTTATCCATTACCATTTACATTGAGCTTTACTTACAGGAAAGCCCCATCTCAGATGGCAGGTGAAGGTTAAATAAAACTTGAAAACACTCTTCATAATATACTGTAGTTCAAGCCATTAATACAAAAATATGAGGTAATCTTTTGCCAATTATATATCTGATTTAATGTGTATCTCCTTCCAGGTTTGTGTTATTTCTTAACGGAATATACAAACTTTTATTTACGAACACAATTTCTTGTGTTCATTACAATGCTTTTAATAAGTAAGAATGACCAAGAAAAAGTCAAACTGAAAATTTGCGTCATCACTGCAAGGAAATCCTTCAAGTGACAAACTGGTAACTCAAATATCTGAGTTAATATTGATTTTAAATTGAAGAACAGTGAAGTACAAAGGCATGTTGCCACTGCAAGAAGTAACTGTAGTTTACAGAACAAAGAAATGCATAAGTCTGAAAACATCTCACTGTGTTTAGAAACAAAGTGTCTACTCTAAAAAATCTGCATTGAGAATTCCCTGTTAACTTGCTACTAAGAACTTAAGAATGCCACTTTTATAAGGTAATATGATTATTACTGTGATATTCTGCACTGTAACCCATCACTTAACTGAAACCTGCTTTCAACTGACAGCTTCAAGTTTTTAATCTTTTCATTATTACACGAATGCTGTTTATAGAAAAGTAGAACTGTAGTTATCCAATTTAATGTTCTTTGATTTTGAAATCTTACTCTAGTCTCAACTGCAAACAAATGTAAAGAACAGGTATCTTACTATGTATAACTGAATTAATGTTTGTGTTCAGCACTTTTCAAAAGAAAACAGGCAACCAAAGCAATAACTTGTCTTTTATAAAAATAATATCAATTTTCAGACTGGGAACCAATCCCCCTATTTGTCAAACAAAAGTACAATATTCTACAGCATCAATTAGTGTAATGTAACAGAGACCTAGCACCAGTCCTTAACAAGTAAACATGAATTCCCAGATTCAACACCAAGAAGTAGTTTACAATTACAGTATATTCTGAAAATATGAAGAAAAGTGTACATTTGTTTCTTTAACAGTATCCAAAACCATTAATGTATTTCTGTTAGAATCCTTGACAAACAATAATATCATGATAAAAGGGGTCAGAAATTCTGAACTGAATACCAGGAAATCTAAAAATTGTGTTCAAACTGAATATATTTTGTTTTTCTCACAATGTCCCATTCAAGGTCTACAGTGAGAATGAAAAGATCAGGTTTATGTTTCCAAGCATGATTCTACATATTATTTGTGCCATATTTCTATTGCATTGTTCCTCACCGATTCCTACTCCCCAAGTTCTTCTCTGCTGTCTAATCTACACAAAGAATATGAGTTATGCTATGCTCAGAATTACTGAGGACCGTGGTTATATCAACACATATTCAGACATGAATAATATTGCCTTACTTGGTTCTTGTGATAAAGGGAATTTTAAATCATATATGTGATACAGGATCATATTTCTTTTCAACTTCAAACCTCTGTAAGGTGTTCTTAACTCAAGCAGAAAAAAATCATAACACACATTTTATTCCATGGGTTTATACACATCACTGCAGTCATTACAACATTCTGAGATTTGAGGTATTGATGATGGTGAAGATGTTGATTGTGGTCTACTGGGTTCTGACACTGCACAATCTTGTACATGGTTACCACCGTCTTGAAGAGGAACACATCACCTCCATTTCCAGGTCCTCCAGTGAATTAGTAACCAACTACAAGACCACGCAACATCACAACCTAGTAAACTATATCATTAAAACATTCTTTTGTAAACTGTCATGTACAAATACAAGCATTAGTGTTTCCAGCAGTGAGGAAGAGCAAACATTACAGCAGCCACATCACACATCAGGATCAATACAACTATGGTATGCACTGTCTTGCTGAAGTTCCATCTGCACAAACACTAACTGAATACCTTAATCTTTTATCACACCCCACCCATATCAAATTGGTTTAGGGAGTTTGTCAGCCAGCATTGCAGACATATATTACTGATTAGTACAGTGTGAAGGATAGCCAGCTTTCATTTGACAGTCTCTTGTATAATTTGTTATCCATATCATTGAAGTACAATAACATCTACATGTTTTGTTTGTTTATCATTTTCCTTAATAATTTGAACAGGATTTTTCTCAGCATGTTCAAGTTACCAGTTTTATAAGGACAAAATTTTCTTGACACATCAACTATTACAGAATTGTGGTGACATACAGCATACATTCTCAAATACAAATAAATGCCCAAGTGCATGACCAAAGTATTTTCACCAACTGAGAAAACGTATACAATTACCAAGACTCCAGTAGAAATCCTTGTGCTCTTATATTCATGGCTGCTTACTAATTTTGACTTAGAGGCCACCATGCTTAGTCTAGGTGATTAAAATGCACACTGCAATCAGCGAAGTGGCAAGAGTGGCTGCCACTTCATACCAAAGAGAAATACACTTGCTGCCCTGTCTTGGTGTTTCCAAAGGCATGTTTGTGACATGTTAGTCATCAACATCTGTCTGCATGTTATAGAGCTGCAATGTAATTTTTTTGAAAAAGCTACTACAGAAAGAGGAACAGAAAAGAAACCAGAAGAGATATACAGACTCAAGTGTCTGGCAGGGGGATCCAGTCTAAAAAAAATAAAAAACTTATACAAGTACAGATTTTCCTCCTTCATCTAGTTTACTTTAATTATATCAGAAAGTTCTCCTTTTTACTTAATTACAATCCTGTTAAAATTCTGCAAGCTGTTCTGTGTAGTTGCTTCAGCTTCTGAGTGGTTTCTACATACTTGTATGATGTTTAGTTATTTTATTTTGTGCTAGTAAAAGCCCTTATACTAGTGAACTGTTATCTCCTCCATCTTTTTCTGGTATGTTTAATTGCATCAGCATCTTTGTCCTTTTAATCCACATTTGTGCTTGCTTTTTCCTTTGTTGGTACTTGGTTGTTATAAATATGAATGGATTTAATTTTCTAATCTTTTCTACAAAAATTATCTTCTAAATGAGTGATCAAGGCAATGCTGAATTTCATGTATGAGGTCCCCTCACATAATCTGAAATACATAAACTGCACACATTTCACTTCAAGAATGCATTTATGTGAATCCTCCTGTCCTCAGGTTATTTAAACTGGCGCTTGCATGTTACCAAACCATGTCAGAATACTGTACTGTAATTGTTTTCTTAAAATTCCATATTCTTCAGTTGTTTAACATAATTTTCTTTACATGAAATAAATACAATAAAACTAAGTGTGTGTCAACTCTATATTCTTGCAATGACATAGCCATGAACAGCCTTGAAATTTGTTGTGGAACACGTCCTAAACACAAAAAAGAGGAAATACTTTGTAGCAGAATATTGCATAAAAGACATAGGAAGTGTTCCATAAAAAATGGACTTCAAAATATATGAAGCCAAACACTACGGGCTATTTTGGGATTTTCCATATTTCTGATTATTGTATTCACAGAAATATTACCGTTATAGTGTAAGGCCACCAGTAACAACACAACATGCACAGATATTAATTTCAATTAATAAATAAAGGTATTTTAAAATCTGCTGCTCAGTGTTGCATATACTGCAGTCACAAGGACAACAAGTGATCCTCTTTATGTACTGTCACAAGGTACAAAATGTGTCTTACGCAACTTCAGCCACTACTTATGGCAAGAAAAGATGCAAATAAATGTACTGAACTTCCCTTTACCTACAATACCGCTTTTATCTATGAAACTTCTCAATACTACATTGTTCTCTGTTTTGTGTTCCTTCATAGAAACTACCATAATTTCTATCTTCAATTTTACCTTTCATCCAATCTTTCACCATACCTTACAATTTCATCTGTAGCATTTTTCCCAAAGTCCTACTAACAAATTTCATATTCATTCTTCAATTCCCGAACAGATGGGTTGTTTTCCTTCATCAAGTGACTTCCATGGGGAGGGAATTGTTTTTCCTAACAAGCTGCTTCTTGTCAACACACAATTGGTTACTTGCCTTGTCTTTACTGTTCACATCACCTTCCAAACCTTCACCACTGTGGACAGACAGAACAGTCATCTCACTATAATATCATTCAATGTGGAGCAATAACAAAACTTAACTTCATACAAGTCACTTAACTCCATATTTTTGTTTAATTAGAATAGTTTGCCATTGCAAACCTTTGGGTTCACTCTGATTCAATGAATCAAAGCAGTGGTTCCCAAATTTCTTCGGTTTGCAAAGCACCTGAACACCATAGTCCTCTGCAGACTAAGAAGAATTGATTTTTATGTTATCATTTGAATGAGGAAAAATATTACTAGCAGGAACATTACATACTATATTGTGGTCTGCGCACCTCAATAAATAACAACAATAATAGAACTGTGAATTGGGAAGAGACTTCCATTATGGCAGAACAGCAATGCTCCACAGGAACATAGTTTGTGAACCAGTGAATGAAAGTACAGCTTAAAATCTTAGAAGTTTCATGTGCACTTCACAATAATGTGACAGAAACAATCTGCATCCACCAATGCATATCCGATGGGAGGCCTTTAATTAAATTTGGAATTTACAATTTCTGATACATGAAATTATGTCTGTACATATTTAGGGAAATGACACCTTCTCATGACATTTATCATCATGTGCAGTGTCACATACTTAGCCACAAAATATAAACATGAATGCAATCTCCATAAAGACTCATAAAGACAGAACACATTTCTTATGATAAATATGGGTACAGTAGACAATGCAAGATTTACAAAGAATAACTCTTGCATGTGTGTTCTTAGTTTACTCCTTAATCTTACATTAACTCTCACTCACCTGTTAAGCGTAACTTCCCCTGCAACGCCTGGTTCCTGTTTAATGTTCGCAGTAGCAATAATATCACCACCACCATCACTACCAGCAGCAGAAGCCATCACAGGTGGTGTTGTAACTGAAACTGTTGATTTTGTTGTCACTACCATCCTGTTGTAGTTGTGTTGAAAGTTGCCTGTAGCTGATAGTATCTGCTGAGTTGCAATGAGCGTCCGGTGGTGGTTGCCACTGAAACTAAGCGTAGCAGAACTAGTAGCAGGATGAGTTAAAGTGGACGGACCTAAACCTTGATGGCCAAGCTGAAGCGATGTTGTGTAACATGAGTTGGACTGATGCTGGTGATGACTTCTGCTTGTGTGTACTGATAACCTTGATCTGCTAGTGCCTGGAACTGAAAATACCAGTACTTAATAATCTAAAACTAGAAAGCATTTAAATATTTTTACTTAACATTTAATCTCTGTAAACAATAAAAGAGGCATCATTTTCTTTTTTAAGTCTTCTATATGAAGAAATATTCTGGTATAATTCTCATTTTGATTCTTAACATTTGTATTAGGTAAAATGTGTAGTATGTTAATAACTTATATGGTCATACAGATTCAAACTGTGCTAACACAGATATGATAATATGTTTAAAACAAGTCTCATCATTCTAAAATCACCTAACAAGGTGTGCTGGCATTATAATAATATTTTGTTTGGACATTATCTTTTACCTATCTATGAACATTTTAAAAATTAAAACAATATAAACATTACAAATTTTAAAATTTATATTTTGGAGACTAGCTCTGCCTCCTTCTTCAAGTAAGAAGGCACCTACTGTGTTGGGCCACTTAGATGGAGCTAATCTACATCAAACAGCCAAAGAAATAGTCATTTCCTCATGGGAGGTGTACAAGATAATCTTCAGAGTATGAACAACTAAATAAATTTGGTAGAATTCATAAGAGAGACACACTATTCAATGTAACTCTTAAAAATGCTACTGGCCCACAGTAGCATTTATACACTGAAAAGCACTGCACTTATAATTTATTATATTTCCTCATTTTAAAATACTTGAGATTGGAGGATGCAACTTCGGGGCACTATTCAAATTTTCAGAAAATGATTAAGGCCATTAAAACAATTTTCTCAGCAGGATTTGAGGTTTTCATGACAGTAAGTACAAAGATGGCTGTCTTCTGGGTTGTAGCACCATATAGTCTAATAAACGTTTATCAACATTTCAGAGGTCCTTGCTGCCTCAATCATCAAGGCAATGACGAGTGGCTTTCCATGCAGAAGACTTCCGGTTCAAGATCAGGCTGGAAATAATGCAGATTTTTCTGTATGCCTCCCACTTTCCTCACTTATAATTTTGTGTATCACTTTTGTACCACAATATCAGAGAACTTAGAAAAGTGAAGGATTTACTCAGTCAAGTTTCAAAATTGTGTCTCCTCTTAAATCTGTTGATCTAACCACTATAAGCTGAAAATTTTACATGAAGAGAAATGTGCAAGGCCTTCTCCTTTAGGTGGATGCCATCTGTGGAAGAATTACCATCATATGATTGCTTTAACGATACAGCAGAACTGATTCCATTTCTTCCAGTGGCAAACACTACAAAGATATACCCTGCCTGGAGAAAAGTCCACACTGGGCATTACTCCCTTCAATTTCTTCATAATTTTTATAACTGTGTTTAGAGTGAACACTGAGAGAACCAACCCTGATGCCAGCTCGACACATATTCTAATAAGCGCAAGAACTTGTGCTACAATACTTATTTTATCACTTATTATAAATGCTTTCCACTTTGGTTTAGTCAAGAAAAACATGTTTTTAAATGGACTATCACATTTGCATATACAGGTAACCCTCGATTTACGCCGGGAATGCGTTCCTCGACGAACCGGCGCAAATTGAAACTCTTTTTATAATGTAAATCAATGGGAAGTCAATGACATGCATTCCTGGCACCCAAACATTGGCGAGTAATATAGTGACATTACATTTAAAGCTCTGAAATAACATAAATAGAATAAAGGGTATTTAAAAAATATATTTCATACACTTACAATCGGCAAATCGTTGGTCCCCGCGATTGACTGCGATTCTTTCATGTGATTGATGTGTACAGTCATCTCTGCTGTTATGCGATAGTTGCATTCATGTAAGACGAAAACCTATAGAAAATCGCGTAGTAAAAATAACCCCAGTACCTCCGCAGAGATTAAATTAGCCCTTTGTAATTTTAAAGTGCCAGGAATGAGACTGCATAAGAGCAAACTCGCATATGCAAAAGTTTGCATTTCACAAACAGCTTTTACCGATTCATCGATCTCATTGGAGCAAATTCGCGTTAACGAAACATACATAATTGCAAAGGTGACTGTATTTATAATCTTTATTCAAAATCAGCGATGTAAGAATTACGATTTAGTATAAGAATCAGTACGAGAAACATTGTAAAACGTTATAAATAATGGTAAAATATATTTTTTTCCCTTTTTGACTTGCTGGTTTCAAAAGCGGCATTATTCTGAATCAGCGCAAATTGAGGGTTACCTGTAATGCCTAGTGTTGTATAGATATCATCAACTTGCTGCTGAAACCAATGACTGCAGTCACTCGAATAAAATGGTGAACATACAGTACGTTTGTGCCTGTGAATGGCTCAGTGAGAAAGATCTTTCACATCATGTTAAAAGACCATCATGCACAAATAACCAAATGCCTTACTAAGACAAATCTTTGCATGTGTGGAACAGCCGTGTAGGTTTCACTCACAGAAAATTGCATGAATAAAAAAGTTATTTTAAAGTACTATGTACTGGTATTCTATAAAAATTATAAATTTTTCAAAACAGAATGCAAAAGAACATGCAAATTTTGAAAGAAGGGTGTCAAGTCATGGAATCATAAAATCAGTTCCCATGTACATCTGACCGAGACCAAACAAGAGTGTGTAAAACATAAAACCTGAAAGTGCAAAATCAAAGTTTCACTGTTAGCATAAGTTCAATGTCACTGCTTCTACGAGTACAAAGACACTCTAGTGCGATAAATTTGAAATCAAGTATACCTAATCTAAATTCATTATACCCAAAAAAAAAAATGCAGAGTTTAGAAGGGGAAGGATGCCAACAGAGGTGACATTTTTCCTTGGGAAAATGTGTAATCTTGGAAAAGAAGTAACTTATTTACAAAGTTTAAAAAGATGTATGAGAGAGACAAACAACATTTCTGAGAATACAAATCCTATGAAACAGAATATCAAAATATGGAATAGAAAATACATATCAATGCTGCAATAAATGTATATTAATTGATGACAAGCGATATGAATTGTCTCATACAGTAAGAGGAAAAATTAAATAATGATGTATCAACCCACACTTCTTTTAACAGCTAAGATGATGGGATAGTACATACAGAAGGAGTGAGCAAACACAAACAGCAAAAATAATTAATTCACTAGAAAGGATGGAAGGAGAAGACCAAAACACACAGTGGTTACATGGACTAAATAAAGTAATGGTAGGAAAATAAATGTAATGATCTGTACTTATGGCATAATGGGAGCAGGGGACATTACTTCTGCTTCATATTTGAAAGGTTTAAACCCACACTACCAGTTATCATGTTAGTTCTAGCTAAAATTGTAAACAAGGTTTGGAACTCATTTGACAATACATATTAATCATACATGTATATGCATACACAAACAAAGTCAGCATGAAAATTATCACCCACCCTGGTGAATACACTGATCACAGGTGGATATAAACTGAATTCTTGCAACCACAGCTGTAATGTCAAGTACAAGACAAAAATTTACTACATGATACAAACATTTGGATGACATCAAAGTTACCTGTTAATAACATACCAACTTTAATCCATATAATTATATTATGTATTACTATTTTTCACATGCAGCGTCTTTCATTTAAACTTAAATATAATACATTTTTGTTATATATCTCTGTTTATTCAGTAAATAAAAAGAAATTTCTGCAACAGTCTTTCATATTTCCTAAAATAAACCAAATGTTAGAAGGATTTTCATCAAAGTCTGTAATTCCTGAGGTATATATGAACTGTGGAGTTAAAAAATCACATTCAGAGGCATAAACTTTAAGACATGCAACACAAGCCAGTATAATTTAACCTTTATCTTACTAGCGGTCCCTGTCTGGGAACGTAAGTTGTGTACTCAGCCCTACGCGGAGTGGAACTCAAAACTTGCAACATTTTAAGTAGACTTCCTCTTTTAGGGGCTGCAAATATTGAATCACTTTCTATAGGGTTTTTACAAGGTCACCCTGAGCTGTCAACCCAGAAACTATAACCATAAACAGCAATAAACATTGTTATTGTCAAGTGGGTTTCTGCTTCCTTTTCAGACCCCCTAATCAAACCTTCTCACATTCCTTGGCATGATCTGTGAAAATAATGTGTATCCACTGAAGTGTGGTCATTAGTTCACAACCATGGCTTCTACCATGTAGAAAAAGCTTCCAAACAAAAAGTAAAGTTACTAAGGCCTATTTAGGCAATTAAGATATTAACTGCATTTTTTAAAAAACTATATGTATTCTCTGTTCTATTCGAATAAATATGGCTTTTATTTTGTCAATTTATCATGTTTATTTTAGATAATATTAAAGTTTTCCGTAGAGCGTGCACAAAAGTTTAAAAACCTACAAAGAAACTCCGTAGGGCTGCTACCACTATGCCATTTAAATCCCCGTCATTTAAAGGTTGAAACAACATTTTTTAAAAAGTAAGAAAATTATGTATGAAAGAGAAAACATTTTGTACAGCACTTACAACAAACCAGCTAATTACCTGTCATTCATTAAGCAGTGCACTTACATTCTGTAGAGATGGGTCCATTGGTTAAATTCTGCATTCCCCCACCAAACCCTGTAGAAGCAGCACCAGAAGCACGAATTAACACATTCTCACTTGCACTAGTTGATGGCATTGCCATGCTGAACCCACCACTAACACTAGTACTTGGCTCATGATTCAACACTAATCCACCATTACTAAAACCACTAATGTTAGAATTACTGTTTCTTGTAGATAAAGGACTAGTTAGGAAATTCGATGTTGATGTAACGGTTGACAGATGATGTCTGTGTCTTCTCCTATGATGGTGATGGTGATGGAAGTGATGATGTGAGTGATGATGGAGAGCAGAGGGATGATATTGATTAGGGGTAGATGTGGGAGGAGTGTGGTTTGTAACAGCAGATGCTGAGATGGGAGAGAGTGAGAAAGGGTCATGAGCAGTGCTAAACCTGAGGCTGGAACTTGGCTGAAGAATGAATTTCGAACATCCAATAACGGGATCCCAGCTACTAACAGGCGGAGATGAAGAATCCAGTTTTCTAGACGAGTCCTCTGTAGTGATTCCTGACTTGGTTTCATCGGGCGAACTTAGGCTTCCAGACGCTATTCCTAACCTTTCAAGAATGTCGAGGCTTTCATCATCTGTTACAGATGGTGGAAATTCAAACAACTGTGAAGGGGAATTCGACATGAGTTCTGAAAGGTTCAGTTCTGTGGTAGTCACATTACTACTTGTGTTATCCAATGAAGACATGGTACTGGAATTATTGAAGACATTGTCCGATAATGTCTCCACTTCCACGGTTAACGTAGAACCATCAACACCAGGCAGACCACACAAGAGAGGTTCTTCCCGTGAAGAGTTGAAGATGTCAACATCTGCATCTTCGCCTTCACTGCCAGTGGACAGAGGAGGTGTTTTCGGTCGGAAGTGTAACCTGAAGCATTATTCATGTGTATCAGAATTAAGGTTTCAAAGCTATAATGAAACATATGAAAATGATCAAGGATGGTAAAATTACTTATAATACTAAATGATAAGAAACATTTCAACAAAATCTATTAAATAAATAGTACTATTTTAATTACTGACTCAACAAAACAAAATCACATCATTTACTATTTCCAAAAGCATCACTATCCAGATACCCCCATTAATACAATCAGTATGTTCTTTTGTTTAGTTCCACACTGCCAAGCAGCCATTTAAGATGTACTCATATCAGCTGTGCCCATTATCAAGAGATTATCCAAACTTGCAAATAATTATTGACTTTTATTACTCACTGCATATGAAGTGTTGCATGTATTCAAGATGTGAGCAATGTAACAAGCAGTGCTCAAGAGAAGTGACAAATCAGCATCACTAATGCATTATAATTCAACAAAACTGAAGTAAAACAATCTCATTAACAGATACAGATAGTTTTATTAATAAAGAAGAGGATTATGTATTTATTGACAGCTGGCCACTCACCAGTCATTCTTGATTTCTGACAGGAATTGGTTGTTGTTACGAGAAACTGTCCCAGAGTCATGAACAGTAAAGTCAAGATAGGCGAAAATGTCATCCGCCTCAGTGCTTGCTCGGTCTAGTATTACTCTGGAAAGCAATATGAATACCATACACATACTGTACACAAATCAATTTGTAAACCACCTCACTTTAGAAAGTATGCAGCATTAGAGGTGGTTATTTTTAAATTTAACATACCACAATATTCCATAACAAGCCTGTTGTATCTCTCAATTCCTCTGATTCAATCTGATGAAACTGGATATGACTGTAAAAACTGGAAGCCAACAAGTGGGCCTCCACTCATACATATAAATGAAAATTGAAGTAAACTCGTACTCTTGTCAAAAGAAGTATCTCAAAAGGTACAAATCCGACAAAACATACAATATTTATAGCATATTTTCCTAATTTTGTGGGGAAATATAAGCTTATTATGGCAGCATAATATCCATATGTCCATGTTCATTGTTAATAATTTTCTCAAAGGATCACTTAATTCAAAACATGAAGAAATTAAACTGTTCAAACTGAAAAGTAATAAGTATTGTTCTCTACAAATTGCAAACAAATCACTGTCTAACATCCTGATGAAACAAAGTTCTTGAGAAGGTGTCACTGAAAAAAATCTGTTACTAATAATTTATGACTTAAACATCACATTCAATCATTACCAACCTCAGGCAGACACTTCATGTATATATGCTATAATGTAAGAAAATGGATGGACTAAGTGATCTAGTATCCATACAAACCTTCCTCCTCGACCTATCCTCCGCCTTGCAAAACCAATGCACTTCTGCTCAGGGTTTGATATAGAGGTAAGGCAGTACCTGTACCTCCTATCAGCTAGACCACCTTCATCACGACTGCACCATGGCCAATTGCCGAGACCACCTGACAAGGGCTGTAAAGGTTTAATCAAACTCAAAATTACTACAAGATGTGTTGTTATAGGTAATAAAATGTTTGTCATGTGATTGATTATTTAATGCTGCTGTTTCAGCTACAGAGGTTATAACAATGCTTCACTAGGATTACCATATGAGATAAAAACTTGAAATTAGGTTCATAAACATAAGACATGCTGCAAAGTAATAAAATATTGTCTATGTGATTTACCAGTTAATTTTAAAGTACTAATGGTACTGTTTCAAGCTATAACATCAGGCCAGTAGTTCAACAAAGATCAATATTCATGATGCATCTTTGTATTACAACATACAAAGGCTACCAATGGCATGTATGTAGTAGCTGTGTTTCAAACAGGTATGATAGTACCTACAACTGATATTTCTTGCAATTATGTATTAGTTACAAATGGTACATCATAACAAGAAAATGTATGTAGAGTCATGAGCTGCTTTACAGCTTCCTTTGTGCAAGATGTGTTGGCATTTATGACCCTTTTCTTTAGTTGTGAAGTTTCAATCTATGTGAGGTCAATACCAATGAAAATCATGCTGCTGCTAGAATGTGTACTCATTAACAGGAGTGACAATTATGGGTATTAACTGAAGTGTTGCAGTTTATAAAAGTAATGCATTTTAAACCTTACACAAATGCTCTATTTTTATCCTGTAATAAATAAATTGCAAAGGCAAAACAACATGTAATAATTCATATGATACATATAACAAACATAGCAGAACTAAATAAACTAACTACTAATGAAGAGCTTTCACCCAAAATGTTTGGCTTCATGAAATGGGATGTGTGTCTTATTTTAGAGGATGACGAATTCACATATATGTGTTTACTTTACTGCATCAAAAATTTAGAAGGTGATGTCCTGAAAAGTATCTACAAAACATCAACTGCATGCTACTTCTTACCACTTATGACTTAGATCTGTACAACAATTTTAAGAAATCATAACCTAGCATGAGTAATCTCTTTCTTAATACTGTAAACAAACTTGAACTGAATTTTTGCACCATTCTCTGTTAAAGTTCTCACACATAAGGTTACACCAACTACAGAAGCATAGAAAAGGTCTAAACCAAGAGTGATATGACTACTGATATTTGCTGTAAAATTAGGTTTTATGAATTACATTCCTCTCTGCATGGACTTTTTTTATACCATTTTCGCTCCTCGTGGAGCATACATGCCTCCTTTATTTGGAGATTTCTTGATCTATTAGGCATTTGGTAGGACTTCTTGGATGAGTAATTAGCCCATTGCAAGGCACTACCTGCACACAGGATGGCACAACACAGAAAGAAGCAGACAAACATCCATGTCTTGAGTGGGATTTGAACCCATGGTCACAGACCAAGCATCCACTGTGACTGGCCTTTGCATGATATATGATTTAAATATAGACTCTACCTATCAGAAAGTTGCTTTAGTAAAATACGAGATGTATCACATTCTTCCATTTAGTGTTTTCCTGAAATTAGTATTCAAATTCATCATCACCCTATCACCAAGAAACAAATGGAAATTTCAGTGTAATGTAACATGCTAGATACTGTGCAACATTTCTAGTAAAACACTGACATCTGAGGTTCTCATGACAGCAAAGATGCTGATGTTGGTCTTCCAGGTTGTAAAGCTACATGGTCTTGTAAGAAAATACCAGTGTTTTGAAGAAATATACTGTCCAGTGTTACAACCCAGATCACCAATATATGAGTCGGCACTAACCGCATGGTAATTGCAGTACTTCTTCCTCCTAAAAGTGAAAGGTCCCTCACTGGGATCAGGTTCCTCATCTTCAGATTGTGGTGACTGTCCAGATAGGATAACATCTCCCTCATCCTCTGAGCTCAAAAGCTCCCCACCAGCAGTACAGTTGTAACCCAGAAGTTCAGTCCCAGAACCCATGGAACCACATCCACTGTGACGATGTCCATGAGAACCAATACCTACAGCACCTACTCCTGTTTTGTGTTTCCGCCTTTTATACTGACGTTTCTCCTTCCTAGGAACTACCTCATCCTGTTTAACAGAAATCATAAGATATTAAACTAAATAAGTTTTAGGACATAAATGCTGCAGATTGGATAAAACACAGATCACTTTTACTCAATAACATGTGCTGTCACAATACCTGATCCTCAATATGTTAAAAGTGTGCAAATATGAAGAAATTTTTCTTTGGAGAATGAAGAGAAATTTTAGAAAAGGAAAGATGGCTGACATGGAATTAGCTCATGTTTGTAGGCAGTGCAATCACACATACAATAACGTGAAACACATAAAACAAGCACTAAGAGATCATATACATTTTAAAGGCTATAATAAATATGCAAATTACCCAATGAAGATTTAACTGTTTGTTCAACATAACTTTTTCTGTTTTTTTATGTTTTCATTTTTACACCTCTGACTTTTGGCACTTGCCGTCTTGTTAGTGAATATAGTTTCATTAATCATCAATCAGTGATATACAGTGTATGCAAATTCCTGAAAAAAGAGTGAGAATTAAGCAAAAATATAAAATGTGCTATAAAGTACCTTGCTTGACAATTTGTTCAACCAGTTCTGGTGATTGATCCCAAACTGGTTTGTGAAGAGAGGAGCAAATGCTGGGCGTGGTGTCTTCAAGGCAGACACTTCTGCCAACATCTGACCACTGAAATCACTTGCTTGATACCTGCAACAAAACAATTCAATTTAAAAGATTCCAAAGGTTATTATAGCCACAGACATGACACCAAATACAAATCAAAACTCTCTTCCATTAGTAATATAAAAGAATGATAAATACATGACAGGCCTTGGCAAGTCTGGACCAGAAACTGCTGCTACCAATAAAGTTAAGATGCAAGAATAAACAGTAATATTGCAAGTTTGCATATTCAGACTGCATACAGGAACAACATTACTGAACCACAAGTTGTGAACAGAGCTTATGATGCTTACATTTCTTTAAATTATGGAATTTACAACAAATGATCAATTTATAGAAATGTGCACAATTTATACAATTACAGTAAGATTCTCCAAAATGGTATCACCTACAAAAGTACATGGTGTTGCAACCCAGAACATCAGTATTATTGTTATGATAAACTCAAACCTCACACAATCTCAAAGACTTACTCTGTCATCATGTTTAATAAATTTTAAAATGTGATGATAAATCTCCACACTACATGCCACATTTAAAAAATATGAAATTTACAGACTCTCAAAGAAGTAGGTTATCAGCATTACATAAGTAAAAAACTTAATTTTTTTAAAAGCTGAAAAATTCCTGATTCTGAGATATGAGATGAAGAACAAAGGAAAGTGTGTGATTGTAACTTCTCTTAGTACTCCATGGTTTGTTAAACAATCTGTGATAGTCTAGACATGTAATAAATAACAGTAAACACAAGCTAAATTTT